TGCCCGGCGTGGCCCGGGATTGCATTAGAAAAAAGCAAGTTCTTCAGCATTTCACCTGACATCGAAATTAAGGGGGCTGTACAACCGCATCGGTAGGAAAACAAATTTTAATATTTTCTCCTCTGAAAACACATTTGTAAAATATGACCCCCAAGGGGGATCCCATTTCTCATTCGGATTCCGATAACCAGTGAATCATTTCCCTGTTGCTATCCCATTTCCAAGTATGTTATCAATATCGCCGTATATCCCGATCCCGATGGGATCCTGATTCCGATTAAGTCCCGATCCCGATTAAATCCCAGATGGGATCTAGTCTCAGTGGGTTACTTTTCTCGATGGAATCCCGACCCTATTGGGATTCCGATGGTATCTCGTTTCAAAATGGTATCCTAAATCCTGATGGATTTCCGTTGCTGGTGGGATCCCCATCACGGTGGAATCCCGATCCCGGTGGAACGCTTTTTTGCTAGGATCCCGTTTTCCACTGGGATCCCAATCCCTGTGTGACCCCTTTCCATATTATCCTGATCCCGGTGAGATTCCTTTCCCTTTGTGATTCCGACCCCATAGGGATCCCGATCGCGATGGGATCCCCTCTCTAAATGAGATGACATATACCGTTCTCAGTGGCATTCCGACCACATTTGGGATCCCGAACTAAGTGGGTTCCAGTTTTCCTGATGTGATCACTTTTTCTGTGGAATCCCGTTCTCCGATGGGATCCCGTACCCAATGGGATTCCGTTCTCCTTGGTGGGATCCCTTTTCCCATTGGAGTCCCTCTTCCCGATAGTCCATTCTCCTAAGTGATACCGTTCTTTGCAGTTCCAAGCTAAATCCCCTTCAGTTTTAGGATCTATTCAGTTTTGATATTATTCCCAGGTGGGATCACATCTTCTCATGGGGGACCCCATTCCCTCATGAGATCTTATTCCTCGGATGGATCACGTTCCCGGTCGGACTATGAAGGATATGTCAAAGATCCATCAATACACGTAATAATTTATACAGTAATTTAAGCCTTCAAATTCATTTATGTATTTAGGTTAGGCCATAATACATTTAATGGATGATTAATTATAAATTCCCGAAAATTACCTTTAATTCTTATTCAATAATACGCAATATAGAACTTTCTGGAACATTCTAGATTTAATTTATAAACACTGCTCGAAACCTGTGAATAACGAATGTGCTATTTAAGTGTTTTTCTAATACAAAAATTCTAACACTAAATGCCGTCGGTAGAACAATTTTCAATTTTAAGTTAAAAGAGGGGGCCCATTCCATAAGGTTCGAATTTCAGTTATTCCCTATAAAAATCAGTCAGAAAAATAATAAAGTTAAAATGTAAAAGTATTCCCATTAAAATCGGTTTTTAAAATGTCATAAATATAGATTTTAAAATTATACAATTTTTTTCGAAAATTCTAGACCGACCCTGAAAGGATTGGATATTACTAATTTTAAATACACCGATATTTCAAAATGGACTGTAAACAGTGGCGTAGCGAGGGTGTTTGGCGCCCGGGGACAAGATTCGCGCCCGGGGACAAGATCCATTTTTAATCCCCCTTTTTCTTTTTTTTCACCTCTCAAACCCATTATTTTCATCAATAAAATAATATCAAAGCACATTTGGCCCCCCCTAACCAGCTGGCACCCGGGGACATCTGTCCCTCCCTGCCCCCTCCACGCTACGCCTCTGACTGTAAAGTGTGTTGCTATTTAGCTCGGCCAACATCCACCAATTCACATAGAACCTATAGTGTTGTCTAAGCCTATTGGTATTTATATACCTTATACTATAAGGAACATCTAAATTTGGGAATCCAGGGGCCCAAGAAGTGGATTATTATGATTTCTGTACACTTCCGTTTTTGGCTATGGATATCATTTGATATCAAGTGTATGGGTACTAAGTTTAGCAAAGAGCCATCCATTTATGTAGGAGTATGTGTTGGTTACATTATTTATATAGCTCATATGAGGGATAAAAAAACGAATTTAGGGCCCTTGGTCCCAAACGGAATGTTATAAAAAGTTCGAAATGCCCTGGTATGTGATTCTGAATAATGACGGATACATGTGCCACGTCTGTTCTATCGAACCGTTTAAAAACGTAAGCGAAACAAAGAAATAAATTTAAAAAAAACAAAACAGTTTTGACTTTTATAAATACTTAGGATCTAATGCAACATTGGCACCATGAAACATTCCGACAACTCCTGCGACGACCCTGGTGCCAAACTGTATCATCCAATGATGTTCCCTAGGGTTATTCAGCGGCGTAGAGAGAGGCGATTTGCTGTTGGGAACCAGATTATAATCCTCGAAGAATAATCCTAGGCCTTGTGGATTCCACACCATCGTCAGATTGTGGCGGACGGATGTCAGCACAAAAAAAAAAAGCCACTGTTAGCCATAAAACCATGAATGTAAATTGTTAAAAAGTTTCAAGACATACAATACATTTTAAAATTATGAATTTTTGTTTTTTGTTCAATTGTCTTTAAATAATAGTCAACTACATTAAATAAATCTTTCTATTTTCCAGCTTTCTTGATGTGTTAGCTGGCAGGAAAGATCCTGATGCTGTATCTGGACATCTCCTTTTGGATGGCAAACCTGTGCCTAAAAACTTCAAGTGCATGGTGGGATACGTCGTGCAGGTATTGTCACGGTTCACTTCAATGCATGTCTTTTCATGGGTTTGGATATTTCAATCTATTAATTTTCATTGGTTGTTTATTTCAATCTTTGTCTTATGAGTGGCTGTTTGGTTCTGTCTGTACATGCTTGCACTACAATGTTTGTTTGTGTGGGTTGTTCAGGATGATGTTGTGATGGGAACTCTGTCTATCAGAGAAAACTTTGCCTTCTCTGCTGCCCTAAGACTGCCCACATCGGTCAAGGCTAGTGAGAGAAAAGAAAAGATCGACCAGGTCATCAAAGAACTTGGCCTGGAGAGGTGTGCTGACACCAAGGTAAGAAATATATAATTTCCTTAGATCAGGCCTACTGACTAACTACTGAGTAGGTTTAACCTTATAGTGGAAGAGTAAATAATATCCCCTAAATAACTTTTAATTATGTTTGGAAAATATTTCTCTTTTTTTGCACTTATTCTAAATATAGAATGTTTCTGTCAATCTAAATATAGAATGTTTCTGTCAATCTAAACATATAATGTTTCGGTCAATCTAAATAGAGAATGTTTCTGTCAATCTAAATATAAATTATTTCTGTCAATCTAAGTATAGAATGTTTCTGTCAATCTAAATGTAGAATGTTTCTGTCAATCTAAAAATAGAATGTTTCTGTCAATCGAAATGTAGAATGTTTCTGTCCATCTAAATATAGAATGTTTCTGTCAATCTAAATAGAGAATATTTCTGTCAATCTAAATAGAGAATATTTCTGTCAATCTAAGTATAGAATGTTTCTGTCAATCTAAGTATAGAATGTTTCTGTCAATCTAAATATAGAATGTTTCTGTCAATCTAAAAATATAATTTTTCTGTCAATCTAAATATAGAATGTTTCTGTCAATCTAAATATAGAATGTTTCTGTCAATCTAAACATAGAATGTTTCGGTCAATCTAAATATAGAATGTTTCTGTCAATCTAAAAAACGAATGTTTCTGTCAATCTAAATAGAAAATATTTCTGCCAGGTTGGAAATGAATTTATTCGAGGAGTTTCAGGGGGAGAGAGGAAAAGGTGCAACATTGGCATGGAGCTCATTATCTCCCCTGCAGTGCTTTTTTTAGATGAGCCAACGACAGGTCTTGATGCCAACACTGCAACCACAGTTGTCAAATTTTTGAAAAGGTTTGAATAGCTGTTCATTGGTCTCACCAATTGAGGTGATTGTACCCCAAAGCCACGTTATATGTAGGTTGTGTGGCTATGGAAAATTCGTAAGGAAGTGATCATTTAAAATTAATGAATTACAATGTTTTTAAAATAAATTTTACATCATTTGATCTACTTCTTTTAGAAGGTAATCCATCTTCAGCAAATAGAAATTAAAAAAAAACTTGAAATTTTTAATAAACAAAATATTACGAAGAAATTAATTATTGTCACCATTTGTTCTATTCAAATAGTTACGAGATGCAGGGACCCAAAATTTCAACTTTCTAGGATATTTGAAAAACAGTTTAAAATGGCACTGAATAAATACGAAAAACAAGCTGCGACCCCGTTCAGTTTAATATGTGGGGTTTGTTCGATGACGTATTCAAATAGTATTTATTACCGTATCACGAAGTCTAAGATGAATTTAGTGATTGAATCATTGCACAACTCAAATTTCATGTGATTGAATGCAGTCAATGAATCTTAACGTACTGGGCAGAGGTCACTGAATTCATGTTATGTTGGTTGTTTGTTGTTTTTTTTTCAGACTATCTCGCAGAGGAAGGACCATCATCTTCTCCATCCACCAACCCCGTTATTCCATCTATCGTCTGTTTGACAGTTTGATGCTCTTATCTCAAGGTCACACCGTGTATCACGGACCGTGGGAGGAAGCTTTGGCGTGCTTCTCTTCACAAGGTCAGTGTTGTCTTCCCAAGGTCAGTGTTGTCTTCCCAAGGTCAGTGTTGTCTTCCCAAGGTCAGTGTTGTCTTCACAAGGTTAGAATTGTTTTCACATGCAGTTGTGTAGAGTTTAGAGCAAAGCTCAGGTTTTGGTGTGGCCCTAAATATGTGTCTCTTTCTTCATTCTGCCTCAGATGGTTTATAGTTCGGCTTTTTATTTGTGTCTCACTGGCACATTGGAGAAATGTTTGTTCAGCTCCCGTGATAGACGTGTATTGTTTGCAGCAGTATCCTTAGCGGTCTTCAATGCATCGGCGTTAGCCAACTTTTTCCATGCTAGAGAGCGAATTGAAAAGTTACATACTATTCAAAAAGACTTTGATTTTGAACTTCTAGGCTACGTCTGTCAGGAACATAACAACCCTTAAGATTTTCTCTTGTTAACTTCTAGGCTACGTCTGTCAGGAACATAACAACCCTTCAGATTTTTTCTTGGATGTCATAAACGGAGACCCAGCAACATTTGCCGCTAATGGCATGAGCGTCGAAGAACAAGTTGAATCAGACTTTGAAAGTAAGTTATTTAATTATTTCACATGTAAAAAGGTTTTAAAAAAGAAATTGAAAATTTGAAATAAATTAATTCTATTTTTTTCTTCCTAAATTTGCACCATAAAAACTTCCTGGATAAAACAAAAACCTGACATTTGAAACCCATAAGTACTATTTTGTTGTAAATTTGAAAAAAAAACAGACATTTCTTTTCTCTAACTTAATAGATTCTCAAAGTGAACATGGAAAATTAGTGGCAGGATTTAAAAATTCAATATGGTACAAAAGGTAATTTCATTTTCATTATTTCTAGTTCCATTGAATTATAAATAACAAGTGAGTTTAGTGTTCATAGATTGTAAGATTAGGCTGAGTTTATTTTTGGAGATTTTAAATATGATAACCGTTTGGTTTTTGCTGTTTTTTTTTAAAATCTGACCTATATACTAACAGAATAAACAACAAAGTTAATCATATATTTTTCTTCTAACATATACATTTTCTAACAAAAATATGGAGACATAGGAAATATAGCTCACTCAAAATTAACAACAATTCGATCGCCACAAAATAAGACGTTGTGATTTTGATTTTATTTGTATGGTTGAAGAAGAAAAATAAGTTGCAACAACTTTAGTCCCAACTCTGAATCACATAGCTTCACAACCAAAAAGTCACTTGATCAGTGTTCATTTTTTTGTTTATTTTTACATGTACCTACCACTTAAAATTTGTCTTTTGAATTCGTGTGTGTATCTGTATAAATGTTTGTGTGTGTGTGCTTAGGCTTCAAGAAGAGGCAGGCGACATTTTGAGCAACTTTGAAGCTAATGGAGGCCTCATGGGTGAACAACATGAAGCTATTGCATACGTCACGCCATTTGGACACCAAGTAGGACAGTTCAATTTTTATCAACATATACAACAATTTGAAGCATCAAATACATGTTTGCATTAATTTGAAGTAAATATTGGAATAATGCGTCAATTTTATGTTTAAAATTATTTTTTTTTAAACTGCACAAAATGTAAGTACTAATTATGTGGACAACTATATGCGAGATTTCAAATACTAATTATGTGGACGCCTGTATGTTTCAGGTGGTGGTCCTGGCCAAAAGAGCTATGATGAATATGTTCAGAAATCCACAGACAAGTATCCTTACAGTAATTATTGTCTTTAGATTTCTACATTTACTTTCGATGTATCCTAATTAGACTACATAGATTGTAGCGACTACATACAAAATACACCTACCATTAATATTCTTACACATAAATTTTTTTTTTTAAGTCTTAGAAAACATTTATCAGCATATTTGGCTTTTCTACCATTTTTTTTAAACAATAATGTTTTGACGAAAAAAAAAAATAACCATATAATATGTTTAACAAAAGTTAAACATAAAATCAGTTCCATTACTTTCTAGGTGGGCAACTCACTGTTCTTAGCCATGCTTATCAGTGTTTTGTACTGGCAACTTGGTGAGCATCCAAGCCACGCCTTCAAGGACAGGTCAGATTATTATACGTTTATCTCTTGTTGATTTTATCTTAGTATTGCGATAAGACACATCTTAAAAGACCAAATGTTACAAAACTATTTTTAGAACTTATTTGAACAGCAATATGATCTCCATAACGCTCAATTTTAAATCCTGTTTGAAATATTTTTCGCTTTATTTTTAGAAACTAAATTTCTGTGTAACATAATCTAACATAAGGTAATATATAATTTAATATAATTTAACACAATGTAACATAATAATATAATGAAACACATTATAACATAATGTAACATGATTTAATGTGATGTAATACAATGTAATATCTTAAATATGCGCCAATAATAACGGTACTGAACACGTTATGAAAGCACATATGCCTTTGTCAACGATGCATTGTTCCAGATGCCACGCATTCCTAGTACTAAAAACAAAGATATGTTTTGACAGTTGTAGTTGGCAATGGTCTGGACGGAGGAAATGGATTCACGGCTGTAAATATTAGTTTCGCTCATATGCAAATCTATTGAATGGGGGCGGAGCCTGAAAAAGGTTTCAGAACAATGCCGAGAAATTCAATAAGATGGCACCTTGTAGCACGGGTATGGTTGATGAGTAAGTGTATGTGTATTTTGTAAAAAAATACTATAAAAATATGAGTCCTCCGAGATGTTCAGCAATGCACCTCCGAGGTTTAAGCAATGCACATCCGAGGTTTAAGCAATGCACATCCGAGGTGTTCAGCAATGCACCTCCGAGATGTTCAGCAATGCACCATGCACCTCCGAGATGTTCAGCAATGCACCTCCAAGGTGTTCAGCAATGCACCTCCGAGGTTTAAGCAATGCACATCCGAGGTTTAAGCAATGCACATCCGAGGTGTTCAGCAATGCACCTCCGAGATGTTCAGCAATGCACCTCCGAGATGTTCAGCAATGTACCTCCAAGGTGTTCAGCAATGCACCTCCGAGGTTTAAGCAATGCACATCCGAGGTTTAAGCAATGCACATCCGAGGTGTTCAGCAATGCACCTCCGAGATGTTCAGCAATGCACCTCCGAGATGTTCAGCAAT